CACACACACACACACACACACACACACACACACACACACACAGCCGCCAGGGGTCAAGAGCAGCCACCACCTGTGTGCCCTGCCCGTGCAGGTGTGTGCAAGGCCCCTAGGCAGACAGGTGTCCGTGAAGCTTCTCCACGAAGAGGAACCAGGAAGGAAGACCCGGGAGATCTCCTTGGGAGAACCAGCCAGTGAAAACTCTGGGTCAGCACGGTCCCCTGCACAACTGATGGTGGGGGTGAGGGTGCAGCGTTCCGTTCCACTGTGGGGGCGGTCAACGTGAATGGAGGCTGGGCAGCAGGCTCCAGGGCAGCTTAGAGCAGCAACTTCAGGGGTGCTTCTGTGGCTTGCTCAGGGAGCCCGCGTTCCTCCCAGCCCCCCCAGAGAGTCTCCCTTTTTCTGGTTCTTCAGGTACGGCCCCCAGCCCCCAGGGCTTGCCTCACATCCAGATGGGACACCCTCCCTCTGCGGTGGTGCCCTTTGATGCTGTGTCCCCCCCACCCCACTCTCAAGATGAAGACTCTTGACACCCTTGGGGACAGACATCACACCACGGCTAACCCCTACCTCCCTTGTCTGTGCGTCTCCGTCTGTCTGCTGGTCTGATTGGGAACCCCTGGGGAATAAGGCCAACTTTGTACAGCCTCTGTTCTCAGCGATGCACCTGGTGCTCAGGTGCCCTCCTCTTGGTCCCCAAGGCCCCATCACCTTAGTTCAACCCTCAGTCACTCTCTTCTCTACCTGGAGACTCACCCACCCACCCACAGCAGCACTGCCTCCTGTGCACCCCTCCCCCAGGCTCCAGGAAGCTCTACCACCTGCCCCTGCTCTTGCCCTCCGCCTCCCTGTGGTTCCCCCTTGTCCTGAGGATAAACTCCAACCTCTGCCACCACCACCAACCTCCCTCAGCTGGGAACTGCAGGTTCTTTAGAACACCATCTGCACGTGTTTCACCCCCATCCTGCCCGCCAGCCAGCACCCCCAGAACAATTGGCCTTAGTCCACATACACCAAGCCGCTCCACTCCCCCGGGTCCTGGCCCAAGCTCATCGAAATGTCTCCCTCACCCGCTTCTCCACCTGGCAACTCCTACTCATCCTTTCAAAGGCCCAGATTGGGGACCAGACTCCCTGGGACGTCCCCCCCACCCAACACACACTAAAGAATACTGCCAGATGGCCACGCCGTGTTCCAGGGTGGCTTCTGTGGTACACACTGTTTGTAACCGACCAATAACCCACAGAAAGGAAGACAGGGCTTTCTCTGCCCAAACTCGGTGACAGTCTCTGAAGTGCACAGGGGTTGCTGTCAGTCAGCACGGAGTTTGGTTTCGGCTAACCTACAGGTGGGTGACCGGGCCCCACCCATGGGTCCTTGCTTCCCAGTTAACGGCCGAGCCAGCCCAATGGAGCTCTATCCTGCACTGACACAGGATGATGGTGTCGTGGATCAGGATCCAGTCAGTGGCTATGGGTTGGGGCTTTGATTGCAGATGTGTCCGCTACACTGCTGGGGTTTGCAAGCGCCGTCCCCCTCCCCAACCAGAGGTGCCTGTGGAAAAGGATCTGAGAGTCTACTGGGCCACAGCCCAGACCACGGCCACTGGGAACTCCACGGAGCATGGATGCAGGGGACATGAGTGGGGTCGGCTGGGTGGCAGTGGGGTGGGTAAATTGCTGAGTTTGGCACATGAGCAGACGCTGAAGGATATCTGTGAGGCAGGGTGGTGGTGGGGTTTGCTTTGATGAAGGAGCGGCACACCGGGGCCACGGACATTACGTCTTCACGTCTGTGTTTGTGTATGTCTGTGCTACAGCGTGCGGCGTTGCTCGGTTCCCATCCGCGCTCCCAGAAACATCAGTTAGGAAATCTAAGGATGCACCGCCCTGGGCACAGCTGTTGCCCATGGCCTCCTTAAAGAGCAAGGGTGACCCGAGGAGGACTAGAGTGTGCCCGACCACTCTGGGGCCACGCTGTTCTCAATCACTTCGTGTCACGTGCCTGTGGCAGTCGGGCCGTGAATAAGAAGGCGGAAGAATCGATCCTTGTGGATCACGGTACGGGCGCAGACGATGGAAAGTACCGCGGGCTGCCGAAAGAATGAACGGATCTGTCTTGGACGAAATATAGCCAGAGTGCTCCTTGGAGGAGAGATGGAGAGACTTGGCCTCGCGTACTTTGGGGACACGTTTTCAAGAGAGACCAGTCCCGGGAGAAGGACGGGGTGCTTGGTCAAGTAGAACGTCGGCGAAAAAGGGGAAGGCCCGCGACGAGATGGATGGACAGTGGCTTCAAGCACGGGCTCAGCACAAGAACAATTGTGAGGAGGGCGCACGCAGGACTGGGCGGGGTTTCGTTCTATGGTGCACGGGGCGCTATGAGCTGGAGCCGACCAGCCACCTCTGCTTCTCTCGCTTCTGAGTCTCGATTTCTCTGCGAACACCAGTCACATAGAGCTCCCGTCCTGAGACCAGCCGTGGCTCCCAGGCACACTCCGAATTAAGATTGCAACTCACAAGGCCCTACCCGGGCCTCTCGCCTCCTCTTGCTTCCTCAGCCCCCCCGCCCCCCATCACTCACTCTACCCCAGTCCTGGGGAAGGGCCTTCATACCGCATGTGTTTACGTTTGGGGACACTTTCTGGCCTCCCCCTCTCCACCCACCACTCTTGTCACCCTTGCCGGTGTTACTGAAAACACCTCTTCCGCACAAACTGGGCTGAAAAACAGCGCCTGCTGCCTCTTGGGGCAATTCCTACAGCCGGCCGGCAACAAACTCCGAGTGGCAGAGCCAAACTGCCCCGGAGTGATTCTAAGGTCATCCGTCTTTATGGAAGATCTATTCTTCTTTCTCCCCCAGGAGCCGGTGGAGGGTTTGTTTCACAGACCTTCCGGTTGGCAGGTGAGCACGTCCTCACCGTGGTCCCCAGGGTCCCTGCGCCAGCTGTAACCACCTGTCTACAGGGGAGCGTTTAACTGAAGGCTTGTCTAGTGCACACACTGTAAGCTCGGCCTCATCTGCATGGCCCCGGCATGCTGCGCTGGACTTCCCGCTCAAGCTCCACAACGCACCGATTCCCGCTCACAGAGACCCTCTAGGGCAGAGCAGACCTGCCCCTGTGGGTGTCCCACGCTGCTCATCTTTCCTGGGGTGGAGAGCATCCTCTTTCTGCATTGAAACGCCAGGCTAGCGGACTCCAACCGCTGACCTCGGCGGTGGGCAGCTCAACTGGGAGCCCACCGTGCCACGAGGCCTCCCCCTAAATCAGCCCCCATCTAGTCGCGGTGGTCCCAGAATGACCCCTGTCTTGGAAGAAGTGGGGCCTGAGTGCTCCTTAGAAGCAAGGATGGCCAACTTTCCTCTCACAGGACTCTGGGCCCGTCCCGCGGGGGGAGGGACAGATCTCTGGAGAAGGGCATCATGCTTGGTGAAGGGAGATGAAGAAGAGGAAGACGCTCGATGAGGCGGACTGACACAGTGGATGCAACTATGGGAATGAGGGTGAGGAGGGAGCCCGGACCCACCCACGTCCCACGGTCGTCAGAGTGACTCCACAGGCTCCCAGACGACATGGCGGATGAAAGTGTGCCTTTCCGTGCCTACTTCCCTCTCGTGTCCTCCCCCCACAACCCCCAGGTCCCCAGGCCTTCCTCGGTACCTAGCAGGTGCTTCACACACCTGGTGGGGTCCCGGATGGAAAGCGAAAGAGCGCTACCGTGTCCAAACGCACGGGTCTCTTGCGAGCAACGCCTCTCCTAACTTCGGATTTCCTCATATCCCTTCTTTATAGAGTGTGTGTGTTATATACACACATATACGTGTATCTATATGTGTGTATATATGTATATATATATATAGTAGGTGGGACTATATATCGGGGCGTGAAAGACCCCTCTCCAGGAGTTGGTCTGGGCTGGGAGCGTCTCCCTCCACCCCACCCCACCCCCGCCGCGCCCCCAC